TTTTACCGATTTCACTTGATTTAATCGGTTTTTTTTAATCCTGGTTTTCTCTTCTTGAAGAGAAGAAGAAGTGTTCGGCCTTGTCTTCTCTTTAAGAAGAGAAAACCGGGATTAAAAAAAAACCGCTTAAATCAAGTGAAATCGGTAAAATAACGACACCAGGAGCAAGCAACACACGTATGGAAAGAGGTTAGCCATTTTTATTTAATATTTTCACTTTTAACTATCTCTATGGCTATCTTGTAGAAAATCCCATAAAAATCCTTATAAATCGATATGCAAATTGTGTTCCTTGTGTGGTTCTCAAAGAGAGCTTGGGCCGCCTGTGGCACATCCACCATCTTTGCCCACTTGTATTCGTGGCTGACTCGTTCCCAGGCATCACTCTAGTTTTGAATTAGAGTCGACTGGGAAGGAGGCCGTATCTTCGGAACATCTCCACAGAGAGCCTGGCTCAGACGACAAAACTAATCTAAATTATTTTCTCTCTCTCGTCAAGGTCGTTACAGTTGGAAGGAAACCCATTCAGAAACCCGAGACCAGCTGTTCTTTGTAAAGGGACCCAGGCCCTCCTCGCCTATCTTAGAGATCGGATACCCACGTGACATACTGGAATAGACACCACAGACTGGAAGAGGGGGGGGGGGGAAACGTGGGCTACTAGAGAGAAGAGCTTTATCCCTTTATTAACTTTTGGAACTGTTCAAATTTTTTTACCTCCACAAAAAATCGTACAATGGATTGAACTTGTGAATTACGTTGGCACTATTTTAAAACAATTTCAATCATATCGTCGAATGGTTCAGTGTTTCTTAATTTAACATGCGCTGTGAAGAAGAAAAGGATTACGAATGTGTTGTAATTATCTGCGGTATGGTTTTACGCAGTAGATCACTTCTAAGCTGTTTTTTCACTAATTCTGGATGTAAACAGTTTTAATCTGTTAGATGCATTGACGGAATAAATTAATAATAATAACAACAATGATAAGTACATACCCACACCAATTTGTAGCGGTAGCAGCTTTTATGAAATGAAAATCTGGGGCGGATCTAGGGGTGGTTCGGTCGAACCCCCTAAATTTTCCCTCAGAACGCTGGAAATCATATTTCCAAAGACCTAATTTTCAAAATCTCAGACCCCTCCAGAGGGGGACAATTCTCCGAACCCCCCTTGACTAAATCCTGGATCCACCCAAGGAAAATTAAGCATTTCCTGTTCCACCACAATGAAATTCTTCAACCTACCTTTTTTGTTTTGTTTAAATCCCGTAAATTCGCAAGAATTAACAGACAGACTTACTCTGTGCTTTGTAAAGGTTTTTGAGGGAATAGAAGTGCTTGATAAGCATGAAAGAGGGTAGTCGATGATGATCAGATGTTAATGAACGAATTTGCGTCATTATGCTAATAACTAATGCTTCTCGAAATTGTGTGACTGATTTTTCAGTCAGCGCGTGGGCGGCCGGGCCAGCCGGCGTTAATTTTTTTTTTTCTAAGAAGTAGTTCATTCATAACCCTTGGAAATCAATATCGTGCTTGTATACACTTGAAAGCTCCACAGCCCTGACATCAGCATTCTTAGTTTCTTTTTGAGGCATTCTACTGCTTCTTAAGCTTTCTTCGTATGCGTTTCTTACCTATTTTAGTTCGGCTATGTGAGGGGAATCCCCTGATTATAACTTTCGGATTTAATTGAACCGTGGAACGACAATACCAAGTGAACATTTATTTTCAAGATACAGACGTTATCATCAGGTGGATTTAGAACCCTCACGAGAAGCAATTGTGCAAAAGTGTAAGTCCTCTACGGTTATACTTCAGGAAAAGTTCGCCATGCGAGTCGGAAGCGAAATCTGCAACAGAACCAACCTTCTTAACACTTCAGAAACGAGAGTTGGTTCTGCCGTCATGTTGCGAATATTCACGATCTTCGCCGGAGCAGTTGTGCTGTGTTTTGCGCAAGAAGGTAAACTGTACTTACATTTTGTTTGTTTTTTATTGGAAGCAGTTGATTGGTAAGTAATTTCATGTTGTGCAATGTTTTGCTGTCTTGTATCAGCTTCGAGTTTTCAGGTTTGCTAATGTAATCACATATTTTTATACCGTCACTTGATTTGCACGCAAGGAGTATTGTCTCCCTCAAAAACTCAGTAACCTAACATCCATTTAGTTGTTGTTGCACTTCTTAGTTGTGACTTTATATCACGCCATTATTCCATCAGGAAAATACAGATCCCTCAACATCCAAAGAATCTTGTTTGTTTTCGGCGATGAATTTTAATTCAAAGTAATAAACCTCTTAAAAGCGACAGCCACTTGTGTTGCTGCTTCATCTTTTTCGATCAAAGCTGGAACATATTGGACAAAAAATCCGAAAACTCGGAACTAAGAGACGGATTAAACGAAAAAGTAATTGCTAAGTGAGTTACCAACGGCATTTATGTAAAAAGTGCCAACTTGCAGAACTTACACCTGGCAAAAATTCTGAGGTCGCTAAAGGGTCAACTGTTTACGAATCCTTAAGAGGCAGATTGATCCTATGAACGTGATTACAAGTTATTTCATTCCGGAGAAAAAATTTAAATCAATCAGTATTTTCATATTCTGCGGCTGAGTCGAAATTGACTGTCCTCGAGGCAAATTTTTTTTCTCACGAAAAACTTATAGCTAAGTCCATGCTCCACTGAAAACGCTTCTGCTCGCGTAAGCAAGTTTTATCCATTTGGATAATGTGTGAGGGTATTTTGCAACTGATTGAAATAATAATTAGCCACCCTGTATCTATCTGTCAGATTTTGAAGCCTTAAGTGAGTCCTTGTTCATTAGCTAGCTGTTTTGAAGTCCATAGCTACCAGAGGGTCTGCCATCGGATTGCGTAACTCGCGTGACAAATACTTATTTCAATTTACGGAGCGTCACGCAAGGGCCAGGATAAGTAATTAAAGAAAACTACGACATCTCAAGAAAAGTTGCTTACATTTAGAATGTGATCCAAATCAAGATCTTGAAGATAATTATTCCATTTTATCCTCATGTTAATTTTCAGGAAATAATACACAGAAAGGCCGCAGCAGAGGGTCTACTGTTTTTCTTCAAGTACCTCAAGATATTCATTATTACGTCACACGCAACCAGTCAGTAAACCTGACTTGGGTAGCAGATAACGTCTGCAAGATCCAGATTAAGTGCGCTGGCAAGAAATTCAAAGAGGGTGATACGGGATTATGTGGAAAGTCTTGCAAAAGCTGCAGAAAGAGAAAAAAGACAAGAATAGTTACACTGGCTGATTTTCCGAAAAAAATAAGGACCATAACATGTCAGTGCAAAGTGTGGGCTATTCGTCCCGTACGAACGGAAAAAATAATCCTCGAAAAAGCATGTGAGTCTTAAAGCTGTATCTCGAGCTAAGTCTGATGACGTCATCACCATAGGTCATGTGACGATGCTGTCTACTCTCCACCCTCTTCCCCTTGCTGAATTCCTGGGAAAATCCTTATCCAAAACATCAAATAAGAAGAAAACGGAACGTTGAAAATATTCATTGTAAGACTTAAATCTATATAACCCCCAACCCCCCCCCCAGTTGAAGTCTGATGCATTTTTTTCTCATTTTGCATAAGTCTAAACTAAGTATTCCTCAAGTTTTTTGGAGCGATTTTTGAGCAAAGAACTCCAATCATACTAAATCATTCTGGGTTGTACACCGTATACTTAATGTTAGTTACGTCACTGTCACTGAATGTTTTAGGGCGTCTATTACCTTATTCTTCCGGAGGAGATAAAAAAAAAATACACCAAGTCATGTCATTGTCATGGTTTCCTTCTCTTTTCTTTTTCTAGATCTTCGACGCAATTTCGGTAAGGTTCCGCCTTGCCAAGTGGCATCTCTCAATTCAACAGTCGTCCTGCCATGTGCGCCTCCAGTCGGATCTCCTCCTGCTAATGTCACGTGGTATAAAATTGGCGAGTCGTCCTCCTTATTTAGAAACAAAGGGCGCAGGCGAGTGCGCAGTGGACGGTTAATTATCAAACGAAGTCGGGTGGGGGACTCGGGCGAATATCGGTGTGTCGCACAGAATATTGCCGCAAGACGTGAGGGTCCGGTAATTAGAGTAGTTGTCGGAGGTATGGCGTTTGGGATTTGTTGATTTCCCTACTTTTTTGTTGATTTCCCAACTCAGTTGTTGGCTTCCCTACTCCCTACTTTTTTATTTATTTCCCTAATCACCTGTTGATTTCCCTACGAAATTAGAGAAAATCTCCAGTGCTCTGTGTAACAAGGACAAGCCGCCACGCGTCAATCATTCTTCACCAAACTGTGAGACGAAAAGAAATCAGGCATTTGATTTTAGTAAGGGGAATTATTCATTTGTTTAAAAAAGTTTAAAAAGGTTGACCAAAAACGCATTAGAGGCCTGAACCAGAAGTTATCTTCAATTACTTTATTCTCCTTCCAAAGGAGCCAGTCATTATTTATCACGGGGGAGGGGGGGGAGAATTATATTCGCCCCCTCGGTTTCCCTTGAAAACTATATGTTCCCCCCCTAACAAAACCTTCAACCTTCCCCCGGCGATAAATAATGGCTGGTCCCTAATATCTTTGAATATCCCATCCCACGTGTGTTCTGAATTTAATTGATAAGATATTTTTTCTTTTGTAATTTTAATTGAACCTCAGAGCGACCAATGTTATTGGTGGGATCGGAAGATGCTTTTTACCTGTCCAACACCTCCAATCGAAGACGCATCAAAGCTGAGAACGTTGTTTCTTTTGACTTTTCTTGGGAAGAAAACTGGATTTTCTGGTCAGATAAGAAAAGCATAAAGGAACTATCTATGCATGATGGTATAAGTAGGGACACTCCCTTTCTTTATGATGACGTCGGCTCAGTAAAGGGACTGTCCGTCGATTGGGAGGCTAAAAAGTTGTATTGGATTGATGGACAAAAAAACGCGATTTATGTAGGAGATCCACAAAGGAAAGTCAAAGTTAAAATAATCGACAATGTCCCTGATTCAGCGACTTTGGAATCAGTTGCTGTTAGTCACTCTAAAAGGTGAGTTACCGCATTTATTCTTATAAGCGTCCTCCCCCGATTGAATGCCCTTCCCCAACCCCCTTGGCCGTCATGTCGAAAACAAGCGCCCTTCCTCCACCCCCCTGGCCATAATATCAAACAAGCGCCCCTCTCGAATAAGCTCCTGCTCCTCCCTCACTTTGTTAGTAAGTAGTAGAGATACAAGGAAAACCTTTTTCTATTCGCACTTTTTTATAATCTATCATGATTTTTCAAGCTTCAGTTACTGCGGATTCAGGACTGGAGAATAAGAAGCACACCTTCGATTGAGCTCCCAATACCCAGAATGCTTTTCCCGCCTTTTCTCGCCAGGGGATCGAAAAAAGCTTCCTTCCATCCTTTGTAGTTCGTGAGATTTCCTCAGTAAGTCTTGTAAAGCGCCCAAGAAGGCATGAAATGTAACTTCATTGTCATTGTTGTTGTCTTTTCTCTTCTAACATAGCGATTATTCTTTTACAGTTTCTTATATTGGACGAGCTCGGGAGGAACGCCAAAAATCGAGCGAGCCAGACTTGACGGAAGCGAACGGAAAGTTCTTATCAACAATAGTGTCCATTTTCCAAACGGCCTGGCAATTGACGAATCAGATAAAAAACTTTACTGGGCGGGAACCGACTCCTATAACTATGGAATTATTGAAGCTGTTTCACTAGAAGGGTTAAGCCGCACCGTTCTTCTCTACCGACGTGGATTCCACCCGACTGCCCTGACCTTTTACCAAAACTTTGTGTATTGGTCTGACTCGAAGAAGAATGCTGTGCTACGTCTTTCTTGCCGGGGAGGGGAGAGTATTGTTGTCAGTGGATTGAGGAACCCAACGGGAGTGAAGATTTTCCATAACCGTATAGGAATCTCAGGTAGGTGTTAAGAGTAGGAAAAAGGGAATTGCTTTTGTATACTTCTTTCTTCTTTTTCCACTGTCCTTTTCTTTGGTTTTATCGCCATTCAAGGTAAAATACTTACATGTTTCCTAAATTTATTAAACCGTCCCCTCTATCTAGTACTATCAATCAGTGTCTCCAAGGGAATAGAGATTTTTTCTTCCTCAGGTTATTGTTTGTTATAACCTTTTTTTATTTTTATTCAGTCCCAGCTACAGATTCATGTCTAAAAGACAATGGTCAATGCGATCACTTGTGTCTCTATCTTCCGTTCCGTGGACGACACAAATGCCTCTGTGAAGAGAACTTTGTTCTGGACGAAAATGGAAAACATTGCAGGAAACGTACGTATTAGCCCCCCCGGTCAAGGTAAAGTCTTAGAGTCTGTTTTCTAGTGATTGGGTTATCTAGCACAGCGGTAAACCGTCCGGCATGGGTAAGGAGCTCGAGGTAAATTCTTGGCCGGCCTCGTGCCAATCTCCCGCGCAAAATTCATAAGATTCTGTCAGCCTAAAGGCACACCACCTAGCTATTACAATGTAAGCACATGCGCAGACGTCTGACAGCTGTGTTCATCGCAGCAACATCTCTCTGGTTGGAGAGAGTCATTGTAATAGGTAAGTATCTTACTCAACAACTCAACACAATGGCCTAGCCGATGCAAGAAGTCATATTACCTTCTTTTGGGGTGATTTCAACGAATATCAGTTAAATGAAATGTGTATGTTTTTTAGGAGTGCCCGAAATCAAATCAACATCGACCAGGGCGACCCACTCCTCCCACACAGTGATACTGTCGATTGTCATCTTACTTCTGGTGGTAATGGGGATAATATACTGTGCGGTTCGCGTCATCCAAAGAGGTTGTCCGTGTCAAAGATCTCAAGATGTACCACGCATGCCCAGACAGTCGAATGAACAGGGTGAGGATTTACTTGCAATGATTGACCAAAGTGAACTTGAAAATACGGGCTCGCAGACACTTAACGAATCGTCAAATCTTCTTGGCCAAGACTGCAGTGGTGAGCCGTCAGGGTCAGAAGCAACATGTGAGGATTCGTCACAAGCCGTAAGTACCAGTTAATACGCTCTACTATGTACTGAGTGGTGGGTTTAGGGTACCTCTTGTAGTCAGAAGTCTTTCTCTTTTTGAGCCTGCAGGACCGTGACGACTGTAAAGGGCTAGGAGGAAGATTCGGTGGACGGCGGGGGGCGAAGGGGTGGGTTGTGCAAAGTGAAGAAAAGAGTGCAGAAAAAGGGGAAAGGGTCTGGGAAAAGACCCACTTTCAGTCTTCGTTCAACACAAAGTAATTAAATGGCAACTATTGTCCTTTATTTACTGAAATAATCTGGACATGAGGTTATATCTATTCCGTGCTTCCTAATAAACGATACATTGTATCGTGCGCCTTGTGGTAGTTTTCTCCGTTGAAATTTATCGTGTGAGTTGGAAAAAGAAATTCGAAAATCACCCAGTTAATGTGAATACGTCTTTTCCTAAGGCCACTTGTATTTGTTAGTCTCCTGATGAAGCAACGGAGATGCGTTGCGTGCGGGCTCTTTTCACTCCTGGACAAAATCAGTGCTATCATACTCACGTCACAAGAAATCATACGAAGGCAAAGTAGGTGATGAGTCAGTCTGGAATGTTGCCATTCTCTACTACTTTTGTCAACAGGACCCTCATACGTCGAGATCGCTCTTTTAGATTTATCTTCTCGTTTCTCTCATTCTGCTCGGTTGATACTTTTTCAATTCTCACTCGCCGTTTTATTTAATTTTAGTCACCCAAGGATTTGGTTTTCTATGTACAACCTGGTGGCGTGGCCATAGTAGGAGATGATGCTCAACTGCACCTTCATTCTTCAAGTCCTGTCAGAGCTAATCCAGTGACTAATTTATAAAGACATTCCTTGAACTGATTGACGCATTTCAAGACTTCGGTCGCTATTTTAAGCAAGTGTCTACAGTCAGGTTTGAGGACTTAATTGAGGAATAACTTTGCCACAAAGTTATCTGTTTCTGTGGCATTGTTTCTTTCTTCTGTCGCACGTTGGAATATTTTGTACATCAAACTTTTTTTAAGTTGGCAAAATCTGTACAGACATCACATCAACTATTATTATACAAAGATATAAGATATAAACAATACTCGGATAAAATTAATAAAGCAATTCGGATAGTAATTTTATAACTGAATAATATAAAATATAAGATAAAAGCGCGGAGTGATTGTCAGCTAACTAGGGGAATAACTTAGAGTTAAAAACAGCGAAGGAGTTTGACTCAACTATTTCCGCGGATGGCTTATTCTATAATCTTATGGTCCTTGAGAGAAAGGAATATTGCCTCTATCTATAACGATGACGCCCTCGAGCTCTAAATTCAGAATGGGGTTTTAAATAGCTTTTTCATATAAAAGGTTTAGACGAGTCATAGTTCTTCTTAATTCTAAGCTTGCCCAACCTAGATCTTGAAGCATTTCAATAACGCTAACAGTAGGAGGATAGTTGTTGAAGCAGAACCGTGCCGCTTTTCTATGGATTCTCTCAAGCGAAGCATTGTCCTTTTGGAGGTATGGGTCCCAAGGGTAGCAATGTTTCTGCATGCTATGTACTCCTCTTTCACCTGTGAAAGAAGATCAACATTGTACTTAGCCTTAACTTTAAGACCTGAAACATTACTGAACGTGCAGAGCAATTTTCCATTGAGTGTGGCAAGTAACTTGAATTGCATTTACTTCCGTACTTTACTTCCGTAAATCAATAGCAACTTTATACACTCGTTTTCCTGCGCTTCGAACATTCTTCCTGTATAAACTTTGATTTCTCATTAGCCTCGTTCGATGTTGACCTTTTCTCTGATAGATTATTCTGATTGGTCAAAGTTGTGCGACACTTAATGGAAATGCCCTTTAGTACACGACAGTGGCCTGGTGTTTGCGAGGACTGATCCTCCAATGTTTTCCATCTGATCTCAAATTATTTTCCTCCAACTTTCAAGTTACGATAATTCCTCATGCAACATGGCATTTTCAAATAGGTCGATGTACGGTGTAAACAGACATTTTTATAAATACGTTTTTAGCTGCCGTTATCGGTTATCTTCTAAACTACTTTGAGGGACCTTTGTAAGAATTTATCAGTGATTGTAAGGCCTTACAAACGTTAAATATTAGTCGTGTAACACTTTTTCGCAAAGAGCATTGCGGAACCACGTAAACAACAGGTCTGACTCTGATGGGTTGTGGAAGGTTCTGACCACTTAAGGCGGTAGAGAAGTCAGAATGTCCTGAAATAAATTAAACCCGTGTTGCTATAAATTTTATTTACTAGTGAAAGGAAACTTTTCTCCCTTTCTTCAGTGTGAGGTGATACTGGGTTTAAAATATGTATAAGATGTATGAAATATATTTAGAGGCATTTTCTTACCTTGAGATTGTAAAAATATTGTATTAATATTAGTCAGTCTTGTTCTCCTAGTTTTGTGTGGTTCCCTCTAAAGCGAGTAAGTGCCCTTCCCCACCCGTGTCGGGGCTTTGAGAATGATTGATCTATTGGCAAATGTATTTTTGTATCTGCTATAGACAATGTGGATAACTGCAACCACGGTAGACAGCTGTATGTTAGAGAACTTTTTTTCTGTTTATTGTATAAATTGTTGTATCTAGTAAAGATGGTATTAGTTAAATGTACATAAAAATGCGGCCATATTTTTTGACATTTAAAATACATGAAGTTGCTAAGAAATGATTTTGTAGTGTTCTCGAATGAAGTATGACGCCGACCTCAGCATTAACGGGTCACGCATCTAAGAAAGTGGGTGCCGACTCATGAGCCCGTATTACTAACAACTGACCAACATGGCGTCTTGCACTGCAGCCAAAAGACGAGCATCGCGGAAAAAAGCGGCAGATAATGTCGTGCAAACAGCTCCAATATGTAAACTTCCTGCCAATATTATGTTGCATGTGTTTAAATTTCTTGATATGAAAACTCTGTGTTCGTCATCCACTGTTTGTCGCCTGTGGTATCATCTTGTTTGTGATCGAACCTTGTGGAAGATAGTCGATCTTCGTTCATGGCCGCTTTCTTTGAGGACTTTGTGGAAAATCGTCAGAAATCGGTTGTCAGATTCGGTCGTGGAGCTTCTGATAAAAGGATTCATCGGAACGACGAAAAAGAATGAAAACATTTCGCCTTCTTTGCTTGAGGAAATCAAGACAAAATGTCCAAGTCTAGAGACTCTAGGGTTATGTTATTGTGATATGAGGAACGTCCCCGCTCAGTGTTTACCAAGGAATCTAAAAAGTCTTCTTCTGGACCATTCCATTGTACCTCTTGGATGGTTCGAGGGATTAAAATGTGAGCAGTTTTTCCCAAATCTCTTAGAACTAAACTTAACCTATTGTACTAGAGTTGAGAACTCTGATCTCCAAAGTATAAAGAAGTTGAAAACATTAGAACGTTTGAATCTCAGTTACTGTTATCGTGTTGGAGATGAAGGTGTACAACACATTGCTAGAAATCTAACCAAACTTACAGAACTTGATCTGTCAAATTGTCCTAAGGTGACAGACTTAGGACTGCATCACATTGGGCGTCATTTGACAATATTAAAGAACTTGAATTTGTTGTCTGATTGGAGGATCACAGATGCGGGAATTCTTTCTCTTGTGCACAGTCTTGTGAATTTGGAATATTTGAACCTGTCATCCTGCAAGGAAATAACAAGTGTAGGTCTTTTTGAAATTACTGACAAGTGTAAAAAGCTGAGGGTTTTGGATTTGACAGGCTGTTGTGATATTTTGGAAAAGGATTTGAATGATGCACGAATTATTTTATCAGACTGCAACATACATTGGACTTGAAAGGTTGGTTGTGAATTAATCCTGCAAATATAACTGCGCAGCATTTCCTCTGCTGATTTTACCAAGTGGTTGTATTCACAGGATGGAAAGTTTGTACATTTAAATTATATGAAGCAAATATGTAAATAGAGAATAACAAAACTATGAATTAATGACCATGAGCCTGTCCACTCCCATTATTCATAATTTTCCTTACTTTCTGCCATACAATTCTTTTGATGTTAGTTTGGAGAATTTGGTATTGGATCAACAAATAATCCTCTCATTGATATTTTCCTTTATTCTCGTCACTTCTCCGCTTGACATTGTATTGATTGTAAGGAGAAATTCTGTCTTGATCACTTATGAGAGTCAAAGGGTTAAGAGCAAGGAAACTTCATTTGTGCCTGATCATTACCAGTAACTCTTTATGCTCTAAGAGTGATCAGCATCTAGTTCCTCCTTACACAGCTGAATCATTTAGTAAGGTCATGAGAACAGAGGGAATAATTGGGAGAAGCTCTTGATTGTTAAACAAGTTCTCCATATCAGCACCTTAAGAAATGTACAGAAAACGGAATGGAGAATATGCATACTGATGTTAAGGTGTTGAGGGTTAACAAAAAAATTGGTATGATAGTGCAAATTGTATGTGAGAAATGCATATTTACCCAAAGACAAGTCATGTGCAAGAATTTAATATTGTAGTAATTAGTGTACAATTTACCTGCTGAAACATTTAATAGGGGCTTTAAGATGGTACACTATGGTTGGTTGGGATGGTTGGAAGTGTACATGAGTGGCCTGGGACCCGGAAGGTAAAAAGGCACAAAAAATTTCACCTTAAGTTCGGGCAACAAGACAGAGGACAGTGAAGTCAAGATGCAAGACTCACTCATAATTTCTTTTGCAGAAGGTGCAATTAATGAAGAAGAATTTTTATTTTTATATGAAGAATATGAATCAGTGAATCCTTTTTATCCCTTTTGGGAATCTGAGCCATTTTGATTAGAATTTGCTGCCATTTATGAAAGGATCAACAAGCTGAAAGAAAAGCGAACAGAACTTCAAAACACTTTACCAGAATGATTTTTCCACACAAAAAAAGAATTTCATGGGAATGAAATTAGTCCCAACAGTAGGAAAATTTATCATCTACCATATGCGAATAAAATTGCATGCAAATTGGCTGTATACAGCGAAAAAAATCGAATCTATAAGCTGAAAGAAAACCAAACAGAACTTTTGAGACATGGCACTACACCACTGTACCAGAGTGTTTTTTCCACACAAAAAAAGCAATTCACCTGAAAGAAATAAGTCCAACAAGAAGAAAATTTATGGCAAACCAAATGTGAATAAAACAGCCAGCAAGTTGGCTACAAACAGTGGAAAATATAATTTTAGTGAGAAGATTCTTACTGTCCTCACCACAACAAGAAATCACAGGAAAACAGACCGTATCAGAGGCATGACAGTGGCATCTCATTGACATTTTTGTTGGGTGACACATTCCTAACTGTCGCAGCCAACCGTAGTCCACAATCTACAGAGAACCAAGTTTTTTTTTGAAAAATCCATTTTTCAGGATTAAGCAATCAAATAGGTCTATTTAATGTAAAATCAGGTGAAAAAGTTAGGGTTAGGGTATCTTTTAGGGTTAGGGTTAAAGTCCCTAATAAATCATAGGAGCTAACCCTGTTTCATGCATTAGATTTTGAAGGAAGAGGCCAAAACTTGGAAATGAAAACTGTGGAATGAGTAACATTGATAAGGAAATTAGGGAAAATAATAATCACCTTTTCTCAGTTACTGCTCATTCTTCAGAGAGGTCTTTTTATTTCTCACAAGATCTTGTAACAACTGCAATGCATGACCACTAAGAATTAATTTGTTCTGTTTTATTTTGTCAAATTAAAAAGTGAGCGAGTGGGTTGTTGTCTTAGCCAAACATTTGGGAGAAGGGTCATTTTATCAAATCTGTACAGAGGAAATTGTTACTTTACTCTGAGGAATTCTTGCTTAAAATACTTTATTTAAATTTATTAACTTTGTTTCTCATACATCACTGATTGAGGGATAGTAATATCTTCCCTGGGTTTACCCTGGTTAACATATTTGCTTTCAGAGACTGAAAAGGATTGACTTTGATTATATGCAGGGAAAAGTTAACAAAGAATAATTATTGTATTTAGGAAACTTAAATCCATTTGTCAAGTTGTAATAGTAAAATACAAGCTAGCATTTTATTTAACTTGTGCAATGTGGCTCTTCTAGTTCTAAATCCACGAGGAGACAAATGAATTGCAATAGCAGAGTTGAATCCTCTGAGTAACTTGTATGCTTGTTCACATATGAAAAGGTTCTTTAAGAGTAGGGTTTTCTATGGAACAAAACTGATTGCTGTAGTTTTCTCATTGTTAATACATCACTGAACTTTTATTTCAAACTGAGTTATTTTACTGCATATGTTTAATTGCCTTCTGTCAGTAGTTAAGAAATGTCTTGGAGTTGATTTATATTCTTCAATGTTGGTGTATATGTTGTAAATGAAGACATTGTTTTGTGCCATTGTGAATTGTTAAAAGCCACAACTGTAGCCTCACTAATAGGAGGAATGATGTTTTGGTCAGCTATTACATTTCGTGAATTATTCTATGAAACATTTTCCTGTTTGAGTCTGAACCCACCTGCTTGATTTCTTTGTTTCAGCTCAGGAAAGGAATAAAGCTGTAAATGAAATCTATCTTTGTCTTCTGGCTGTGATTTGAAAATTGATTTAAAATTACATGAAAATGAACCAAAATTAGCCCTTGGGCTCTTCTTGTAAAGGATAAATTTAAGATAGACATCAGTGTTAAATTTGGTCTTGGACATATTACACATACTTGTTCCTCCAATTTTACACACATTTTGTGTTCTGATTTTAATTTAAGACCTCTGTGACAAGTAGCCATTGCTCAGCATCATAGCCTTTATTAAGGATCCATTTGTTTTACTGAACAAGATTGTTTCCAGTTGGTTCTAGTAAGAGTCTCACTTGCTGTTTGATGTACAGAACACAGCACACTGCATGCGATGCATGGAGAGTGAAGATAGGCATTACATGGTTATGGCTGAGTTGCATTGCAGTCTGTGATTATTCTTTACTTTTCAGTTACTTGACTTGGTAGGAGTTTTAATGTTGTAAGATGGCACATTTTGTGTTGATTTGTAAAAGTATGGAAGGTTGATGAGAGAGGAGTAACATGTTAAAGAAGCTGACCTTTGTGGAGGTGGAGTTGTTCTACTTATAAAGAAGTAAGAAACGTACCAGACAACAAGGAAATGGGTAAGTGGATCTGCAAAAGGTTCTTTCATTCCTTTGATGACATGTTCACTAGAGAAAAAAGTTTCATCAATTTCATCTAATTAAGAAATTTTTGAACAAGCCTCAAAAGCCCATTTACCTCTAAAGAATATGCCATATCATCAACCAGTTTCCTTGCTTTCATTGGGTAGTAATTCTTCTCTTGCCCCAGATTTTCACATCCAGTATCCTGAAGCTTTTGATGTGATTGTAGGTGGTCCATTGCCGATATCATGCCAGATCATGCCCAGAGTTACTGTCAAACTCATAATGTCATTAAAACCTGAAATGTGTTTGGAATGGTTATTGTGTTTTGACCAATTACATGCAAGATCCTAATCTTGCATGTAATTGGTCAAAACACAATATAGGGCATGTTACATCCTAACATCTGTATCTGTATTCTTTATACCATTCTCTATACATTTCCTGAGGTGCTGACATGGAAACGGATATGGTTAACAATCAAGAGCTTCTATAGTTGTTGATCATTTCTTTTATTCTTACAACCTTTGTGTTCGATTTAGGAGTGATCACTCTCAGGGATCAACAGGTTAAGTGAAAAATCACAAGCTAATTAGCATCACTGTGTACAGTCAAAATTCCTTGCATCTCCCAGTTGACTTGTTTTCATTCCTTGTTTTACTTGACTTGATTTTCTGAGTTTCACAGTAATTTTACCACGACAGTCTTTTTCAGTTAGACTTTGTATGAGTCAAAATACCTTTCCTGTGGTGAATTTTTTCATAACTTCTTGATTAGTTTTGAGGGTCCAGGTAACACTGGGCACAATTAAGGTAAGCAGTTTTGTTTTTATCAACTCAGTTGATAAAAAATTATGTAAATTGTCCAGAGCGAATGAACAATTAAGGTAGGCTAATTAGGATTTAGGTTAATTAACAACAATTTTCCTCCCCCCCCCTCCCCCCTCTCCCCAGCTTGCGCTTTTTGACTCGTTTTCAAAAAGAGACAAACAGGGCATTTTTTAAAATTAGGAAATTTTGCCACTGATGAGTACCTTTTTATCTTTGAGATCTTTCAGTCTTTCTATTAAAAGAGAATTTTATATATATCAGCGGGAATTTAGGATCGCTAGGGAGTTGCAAAATGAAAATATCAAAAAAATACTTCAAATCTTCTACTTTATTGATTATGCATGCAGCTCGGTTGTCTCACCTTGCCTTCGGTACACCAAAGACGCTGTGGTTTCAGAGTAAAGAGTGAAACAACAGGGCTGGAAGGTTTCTCGCGAATTGTGGTAATAAATGCTTCCTTCGTGGAAGAACTACGTTTATTGCTTAAAGTTTTCCCACACTTTCCTTTATGTCAGGTTTTGGCGTGGAATACAATGAAATTACAACAACGCGGTCGTGTAGATGAGCTGTTATGGCGAAGACGACTCGACGAACGAAGAAGGACAGCGCCCATTTCGCTGCAAACTTTCGAGGTAACAGTTAAATGCTAGTTTTCTGTTGGAAAAAATAAAGCTGTACTGATATTTGAAGTATTTTGTGTCGTGAAATTATTATAGTAAGCGAAACTGAATGAGTTGCAAGACGTGAAATTACTACAAGTTCCAGTCAGTCCGCCATATTTATTCTGACCTTTTAGTTTTGGAATGCCTAAACAACGCCTCTTCGACTTGCTGACACTAAGTTCTTTATTCTTTTAATCTCTGTGAAGCATTTTCATGTATATGTTATAGATATTTGGAAAATCCGGGAGATTATAAACTTAATCTAGAAAAGAAACGTACCCATATTACCTTGGAAACAACTCTTCGATAGTCACCTGATGAATTTCTATGCACATCGCAATATTCAGCATTAAGGTGGCTGAACACAGTTTTTGATATCTGTGTTTCTTTCACCATTTTCTCTAAACCCCTTGATCTCTCGGTCGCCAAAACTGGCAGCAATCAAGTTAACAACTCAAACTTTGGTTTTTTGATAGTTAAACTGACGTATGTGCCGTTGTCATGGCGACATGAATAAATATAAACAGGCCTTTAAAATCAGTTTTTTTCATTTGTAGAAGATCTAGTCATTAGTTTTTCTTTATAATTTGCATGAAACGAGCTTGTAATGATACTCACAAGTTAACACCATTTTGCTTACAATTTAACAGAGATCTTTAATTATCCCTTGTTGAACGTTCACTCGATTATCTAGAGTTTCCTTTGTTAAAAATCAGTTTTTTTCAATACTCCACTCACTTATTTCCGAAAGTATTTTCGTGCCAAATTTCGTGAAATTCTAATAAGTGGTTCTCAAGAAATAGGCATATTTCCGAGAAAGCAATTTTCCATTCAATCGCAATTTTTTGACTTGCTATGCATATGCTGCACTTAACTGGGCTCTCTCGGTAACGACGAAAAAGCTGAGAATTGCTGGGTTCTTTGCACCGTTAACTTTTCTAACATGTCTTTGTAATAAAAGATTAAAGCCCTCAATAAACCGCGCCAACTATAGAGAAAAATAGCACAGATAGTGCGAATATGTGTTGAGTAAATAAAACGACTGCTCTATTGACGGCATGTTTGATTTTTGAAATCCTTGTGCGCGCAAAAACTGTGTTCAGCCACCTTAATTGAATTAAGTAAAATTCCTAGAAACTGTTTAACAAGACTACAGCACAAGTTGCTTTCAGGCAGCTTTAAAATTTATTACATTTACCTATTGAAATATTTCACGACGTCAAGAGTTTATAAACTGTAAGAACTCATCCCCCATTCATACTTACCTATTCCAATGATGATTTTTTTAAATCTAATTTTAGTGCGTGTTCCTACAGGGTGACTATTTTGAGAAAAACAGCTGATTGGTGAGCGGTTTTGTGGTAAATTTAGAGAGTGATGTTTGGCTGCCTGCAGTTTGTGTTAATTACATGACAACATGATGATGGTCAAGAAAATAAAAATGCAAGCATTGATAGCATAAGCTCTAAGCTCCACCTCAGAAGGGTGAGTTACATCAGAGGGTTTGAATGGACAAACTGAATATCTTGCAATGGTTGAATTGGCTTGTTTAAAGATAAAATACTGGCAACTGTTTCAGAGCTGGAATATACATTTAATTTTCAAATTTTTATTAGAAATATGGAAAGAATTTATCAAAATAATACTGTCATTGGGAGTTTAATTGCATTCATAAGAACTGTTTTATCAATTTACACTTGGTCTTTTATTTGCAGAATGCCACTTCTCAGTTGCTGTTTATGGTAATCAAGTTGAGATGTGGAAGAAGATTGAGTACTCTCTGTGCAATAAAAGGTAAGTGGGCTCCTGGGTTGGCATAGAGGAACTGCTCACCACTGGAGATGGCAGCATTTTGGTACAAAGACTTGTAGAATTTAGAGTGGAAAGGAAATTATGTGTCAAAGAGAATTTTAGTGGCAAATGGCACCTTGATAAGCCCTTGAGGTCATGATTTGGTGAAAAGTTAGCCAGGGAAGCTTGGAGTTATTTTTGTGAGAAATGAAAGTCTATTCTCATTGTTCAAAGACAGTGCAATGTAAAAGCTCCAATATCAAGTGCAAATTAGGGTATAGCAACTCTGGTTTCTTTAGATTGCAATGTGAATAACTCTTGTTTACCTCCAGAATTGTTAACGTCATGTACAGTGGGAACTTAATTGGAATACTGCATTTAACACAAAACAGTTTGTTTTTGTTAAGAGGTAAGTACAAAGGGAAGTCTACAGCCTATGCCTTTGGTAACCTCTCAGCAGGTGTACGATACCTGCATGTACATGTACCTATCAGGTAACTATAACTCAATTGGGTTATACTCAGTTGTTCACTGCAAATTGATGGGGTTTGTAATTATTGAGTGCTTGGGAGGCAAGTATGCAGCCATGTGTAAGAACTAATGGCATGGATTGGAGTAGTGTGTAAAACAAACATTGTAGTTCATTGTGAAAAGAGTAGATCAACAGGTATGCTGACCATGGTGACATGTTTTTATCCAAACAGGTGAGAAGCTTGGCATATATTGTGTTTCCCTCCAAGTGAAAGAAGATTGGTTGCAAGGGAACTATAAAACTAAACCAAGCATCAACAGCGATCATCATAATTTCAATTGAGAAATTGTAAGTACAAATTTTTGTTTTTTGCCACTTTTTTTTTTTTAATGGAGTTGAACTCTTGGTGGAAAAAGGAAGAGGTCCATGATTTAAATATTTTGATACAAAGCCAGGGGCCACACAAAATTCCTGCTTTCCTCATAAATCGAGAGACCTTTGCATTTATGTCAGATGAATAATTTTAGAAATTTTTAAGTTCAAATATTTTTTTTAGGAACAGAAATATTCAATTCAAAGCATGTGCAATATTTTCATGATTCTAGGATACTAGCCAAATTCTTATGTAATGTATTAATTTTAGAAAAATCGGCTACCGGTATGCCTTCTATTAACAAATTAGCCTAACTTTGACAAGCCACAATAGTCAGACTTATTTACATTTGTACATGTTTATTGTTAATATCATATTGGATATTTTGTGGCATATTTTCAAAATCAATTCTTGAGAAAGCAAAAAAAAAAAATTGTCAATATTGCTTCAATACAGTGGATTTTGTGTTACTAAGTCTAACTGAAGTTAGAAAACAAAATGTCAAATTTTGTCTAAGTCAAACTGAAGTAAGAAAAACAAGTGTCAAATGTTGTGTAAAGTCTAGCTGTGGTATTCAAAGCCATGACAAATTTTGTCTAAGTCTAACATTATCTAAGTCTAACTGTAGTACTCAAAGCAATGATGAATGTTGTTTTAGTCAAACTGAAGTAAGAAAAAGTTCTTCAAGTTAAATTTGTATTCCTAAGAGCAGAAAAACAGGTACACTTTTGGAGCACCAGTGGTAGATGAGTGTGAAGTAGATAGTAATACAGGAGTTGGACATCATGGTTAACTTCGATAACAGTGCCAGTGACTTACATATTTATTAATTTGTTTTCTTTTCAAATTTTCCTTTTTCTCATATTCCTTTTTAAAATCTTTGTTCAAATACTTTACACTAAAACTTAACTCGATGCCATGTTAGAAGTAAGGGTTCTAGATGGAAAGTTGTGATTATTGTCTCATAACTGACATTAAAGGTTACTATATTTTTTGGAACAATGATTCTCTCAGTTTTTAGTACTGTGTTGAGCTTTTCTAGACACCAAAAGGTTAACTTTAGGCAGATCTCTTAACAAGACTGATACTGCCAGGTTTTGGATTTCTGTTTTTTCCTAATGCTTTTGTTTCTGTCTTCGATAAGCCTGTCATATTCGGTGGAATCATTTAAAAGTCCAAAGTTAAAGTTTTGCTTTTCTGTCTTTCAAGTTGCAGCAGTATATGCATGTAATGTAAAAGACAATTAACTTCAATACATGAAACTGAATCGTGTTCATTTTAATGTGAACTTTACTTTATATCTCTTGAATTATGGCAAACTTCTAAAAATTGATGAATGAGTTCGGAATCTAAAAATAAATCGCACTGAGTTAAGAGGTATATTGTACCTTTAATTGGAGACTTTGCTCATTATTTAAAAGGTTAGCCCATATATGTTCTACATCCAAAATAATGTGCTTGTCACTTAAGTATAACTTATATTCTATGATTAACAATTTTTACGAGACTATGTTTCGTTTTAGTACTTCAAATTTTTAGATATAAATGCAAAGGTTCTCTCGTTTTTTAATTTTCCACCACGGCAATCATTTGATTTATTTTTGTAACTTTGGGGAGCTTTTGTATGTAACTTGTTTAAATTTAAAAGCTTTGAGAACTTTTTTGGGGGAAACATTTTCCTAGGAAAAAAAAGTTCCCAAAGCCCTTAGAATTGAACAAATTTTTAGTAAATTAAACTTAAAAAAAAAAAAAAAAGAAAAAAGAAAATCGACTAACGGGGCTCAAGGAGTTGCTACTTTAATTAAACGACGGCGGGGATTCGGCCGTCGTCTAATTGAACATTGTGCACTACCGCTAGTCCACAGTGACTTTTGTTAAGAATGATGGGTAAAATTGACCTAGAAATAGGTTTGCTCTTATTGTTAATGAAAATAATAGCTGGTATTTTTTCCCTCCAGAGATTTGAACTACTTGCGTATTCGTGTTGAATTCTGTTTTTCAGGTACGTGATAACTGGACAAAGAAAATTACAGAAGATAAGCGTTTGCAAACAGTTTAGTGCTCGTGGTATCAGTTTTAAGGAAAAGATGTGCAACAAAAACAAGTGAAGTGATCTTTATGGCCTAAAATTAGATACGAAGAGTAAAATAAGAATATTCAATAAATTTCTAGTTGGTTTCTCTGGAGTGTTGCAAATTCAAAGGAAGCATTGAAGGCAAGAATTCATTCTATTGTAAGTAAAGTCGAATTTTGTCTAAGTCCTACTGTAGTAGTGAAAGCGGAACTGTGGTATTTTTTTTTTTTGAAATGTAACTGTAATAGTAGTCAGAGCAATGTCGAATTTTGTCTAAGTCCTACTGTAGTAGT